TTAATAAAAGAGCCCATATGGAAAGTTCTCACTTTATTAGTAGATACTGTTACTGACTCTTATGTTTTCCAGTAAAATCTCAATATGACTTATTTTTATATGGTAAGGATTGTGTTTTTACTTATTGATCTGTAGTGTTTCGAGTGTGAACAGTCAAATGAATACTCGAGACTCGTGGGTTGTAACCAGACGGCATCTCCCGGCGTGCCCCACTGCCACTGTCCTTCCCTGCTCACACACGAAGACAGGCCATCTGTAGCCCCTCTTCTTTGACCCATTGATTGTGTAGGAATAAGTTGTTTAATTTCTACATACTTGGAATTCCCCGAGTTTCCTTGTAATTGATTCCTAATCTCCTTCCACTGTGGTCAGAGAATATACTTTGATTTCAATCCTTTTAAATTTATCAAGGCTTGTTTTATGGCTAAGCATAACGTCCGTCATGGTTTTCTTAATGAATTTCAAGATACTCACCAGCGTATGACATTTTCCAGAACTGAACAGTTTGTCAAATCTTAATTGTAGCTGCTGCTAAAAATACCCAACACCAGTTGCTTAATGTGACTTTGACCTTGAAATATTTAAATACGTGACAGTGTGTTTGGAGACCTCGTTCCAGTTTTGACTAGTATGTTCTGAACAGCTTTGGGTAAATAATTTATTGTTCCTGTTCATAACATTGCTCCCTTCCTTTTGACTACACTTTGGTGCATAAGTTCAAATAAAATTTATAATTGAGAAGGTCATTAAGATTAGAATAAAGTGATAAGGTAGTTCTTCAGAAAATTTTTTATGATGCAAATATTTAATATTTAGTATTTTATGATGCACATAAAATATTATTGTCTTAATGATTAAGTTGCACTTAATGAACCCCATATTCTGCCAGCGTCTGCGGTAGGCTTTTGTTGTTAATTAGGTACCTTTGGAATCATTACCCTTTGGGTGTCTATAGGATATCAGGAAAGCGTGACATTGGGCAGGTAGGTTATTCAGGTCTCAAAGGTCCATGCATCATAAATCAGTAAGCACTTATCAAATGCCTACTTTTCTATCAGTTCCTTGAAGGCAGGGATCATGTATTTTTTCACTCCTCCCATTTATGGATCACAGATTATATGTACATATCAAGTTCAGTGGCGTGTCTTCAAAACTTTAAAAGCCGGATGAGAAAATCCCAAATTGCAAACAGATTAGTTTACAATGGTTTCGCTTTTCATCGTATAGTTTTCTATAGAAATAGGTGTGTTTCCTTAGAAATAACTAAACAAATATACATGATAATAAAAGCATATTAGAACTCATAAGCGAAGATGGGAAGTCCACTTGGGAAGCTGTGAGAAGAGCTGGAGACAAGGACACTGTCACTGGACAGAGAGAAGGCATGCTCTGCAGAACGATGCAGCGGGTGAAATACGTTAAATGTGGAGATGGCTTCGTTGTGAGCACTGAGGACAACGAGGGGCCTGAGTAAAAGAAAAGCCCCGGTTTGTGGCAGGAGCATCTAAGAGAGTGGCAGGGGCATTCCACAAGCTAAAGAGGCACAGGGAGATCATAAGCTTAGTGTGTCCATTAGTCTTCCGGGTGTCAGAATGACCTTGGAACAGAAGGTAACCTAGAGGGGAAAAAACAACGCTGTAACAGAAGACTTCTCCCATCTCCCACTGCAGATAAAACTACAGGGAGTTTCCATTTGTTTGGGACCCAGAAAATAGCTTTCTCACCACACCATAGATATTCTAAAGATTCTTCTAAAAAGCCCTGGCTGGCATAGCTCAGTGGATTGAACTCGGGCTGTGAACCAAAGTGTCGCAGGTTCGATTCCCAGTCAGGGCACATGCCTGGGTTGCAGGCCACGACCCCCAGCAACCACACATTGATGTTTTTTTTTCTCTCTCTCTCTCTCTATCTCCCTCCCTTCGCTCTCTAAAAATAAATAAATAAATAAATTGTTAAAAAAAGATTCTTCTAACACATAAATAACATTTCTTCACTACATGCAATTTGTCACCAGAGGAAAAAAGGTACCAAAGAAAATGGAATCATCTATAATTATGTCACCTACAGGAAATCACTGTGAATCAATGTTCACATTTTAGAGCTTGCCCTAATGAACTTCATTAAATACATAAATAAAAATATGCCACCATCCAGGGCACATCTGTATATTACGTAATTCAGTACTGCATAAGGAGTAACCTTCCATGTCATAACAATTTCTTATATTATCATAATAGTTGGATAATATTTCCATTTAAAGCATGTATCATATTTACTTAACATTTCATATATAGCTTTAAGTGAAAAAGCAAGAGTATTTTAGTTTATCAGTCTTAGTCTGACTTTCTGATCATTTCTGCGTTCATGGATTGGAGTACCCTTTGAATGGGTATGATCCTGTTCGAGTCTTTTGGCTCCTCAAAGCAGTCAGGCTCTTAACAGGTGTAGCATGTGCCAAGCAGTGACTCATGACTGGGAACTATACACAGTGCTGGGGATATGGCAGTAAGCAGAAAAAGAACATCCCCTGCTTATGACAAGAGTATTTGCTCCTGGGGAATCAGCTATTTAAGAGTAAAAAAGTCAATAGCAAGCAAGGGCTAAAGAAGAAACTAACAAAGTGTTAAATAGACATAGCAGTGGAAGAGAATGACACTCTCAGAGACAGTGTGAAACAAAGGCCCCAAGAGAAGAGGACCTCAAGGCCATTGCATCATCTAGAGGAGGGCATTTCAGACAAAGGGAACAGCAAGTCAAAGGTAAAAGCACAAGAAAAGACTTGGTCTCACTTGGAAACTGAAAGGAAGCTGGTGTCCCTAGAGTGTGTTTAGCCTGGGGGACATTTCCACCTCAGGATGAGATTTAGGTGTCAGATCACGCAAACTCTGGTGGGCCAGGGCAAGGAGCTTATTTGCTGAACAAAGGGTAGGCAGGAATTGTTTTTCGGTTTGGAGGGAGAGAATCAGAACCTATGCTTTGAAAACTCTCAGCCTGGTTGCTATGCAGAGAATAAAAAAGAAAGTGAGAGTCCTAATGGAGAGGCCAGTGAGGAGACAGCTGCTCTAGTCCCTGTGCCGGACGGTGGCTGGGGAGATCCAGAGAGGTAAACTAACTTGGTATACACTTTGGAGTATATGGAGGATATAAGCTCACGACAGCTAACTATTGAATAGTTGAGGAAAAGGGGGCAGGAGGTGATTGAAGACATTTTCTAAACTGTGTGCGTGAGAAAATGGGTGGATGCTGGACAGTATGGTACTCTATTATACAGGTGGGGGGGAGGCGGTGGCAGCAAGAAACCTGTTTTAGACACATTGCCTCTCAGACAGCACGTTGGGATATCAAAGACACAAATGGCACTGGAGAAGGGAGTGAGAGTGTGGAGCAGCGGGAAATACACACTTGGGAATGTCAGGAGGAATAAAGAGTCAAGGGAGAGGTTGTTACAGACAGCAAGTGGCAGCATGTCCGTATACTGGCGGGAATAATCCAGGAGAGAGAGAGAAAGAAAACAATGAAAGCATGGGATACAGAGATTACTGAAAAAGAAAGTCCTGAGAGAACTCTGGGAGACAGGGGTGTCCAACTTTTTGGCATCTCTGGGCCACACTGGAAGAAGAAGAGTTGTCTTGGGCCACACCTTTAAATATACCAACAAAACACTAACAAAAACTGATGAACAAACAAAAAGGCTTTAAGTAAACGTACAATTTTGTGCATAGCCATGCTGGGCTGCATGTGGCCCGTGGGCCGCAGGCTGGACACATGTCTCAGAGGTATTCCAACTACGGCAGGTGGAAGTTGGGGATTCGTTTACTGGCCCACAGCACTCACTGGTTGAGGGGTGATGTGGGGCAGCATGGATTCCCCAGCATTTCCAGTCTGCTCTGGACTTGGGATAAAATGATTCTGGCGAGCAGAGAAAGCCACGGGCAAAGGCTCCTAAATGCTTGCAGTCAGAGGCCACTGAGTGGCACATACGGGAGTGGTGGGGACCAGAGGTACGTGGGGCACCACGAGGGTTTTCGGCTCTGCCCTGATCGACGTTTTCTCCATTTCTGAGCCTTTAACACAGAGAAAAACTGAAAACAAGAACAACTCCGATGGATAATGAATAGGAATGAAGAGACAAGAAAGCGTGAGCCATAGCTTGTGCCTCCCATACAGACAGACATCTGGACTGGGGACTTCGATCCAGTTAACCTCCCTGGGTCTCAGTGACCTAACCTGTAGAATAGTGGGAGCAAAGGGAAAAATGCAGGGCTTCTTTACAATTCTTTTCAATTATTTTAAGGTATTGGTAGGGGAATTCCCCTTTGTCTTCCCTCACTAGATATATCAGAGCATTTCAAGCGGTAAATAGCTGCCATCTGCCACTTTACCTTGTTACATTGTATCTCCTGAGTATCTACTTTTCACTGGCCAGGGTTCAAAGCATTTTATGTCTAACCACTATAGCACTGATGTGAGGAAGTGAACATGATTCCCATTATAGGTGAAGATTCTGGTTCTGAGAGGTGATATGATTTCCCTGAACTCAGATCCTTCTGACTTAAACCCTCGTTTCTTATACTGCTGGACAGTGAGACGGTGACGACTATCTCTGCAATGAAAAGGAATGAAGAAGCTACATCATACTCTTCACTCGGCAAACGAGGCGGCTGCTGATGCTGACCTGAGAGAGCAGCATGAGGCTGTGGGAGTCCGTCCTCCAAATTCGGCCCATCACTCCAGGTTCGCTTTCCCCTTTGGGTTCGTGAGCAGCATTGCAGAGAGGGCATGAGGGTTCTGGAGGATACCCACTAACTTGAAGTGTTTAAGTTCACACAATCCCTTGTTATTGGTAACTTCCTGTTAGGGTGAAGCAAGTAATGGGCCGTCGCAATAAAGATGGCAGTAGCGACTTCACCACGGCAACGACGACGCCAATCGTCTACTGGGGCAATGACAGAATTTGGTTCCGGCCCGCGAGTTTGACGTCACTTCCGTTCCCGGTTCGGTGGCGTGCGCGCTGGTTTTCCTGCTGGAGCTGTGAATGGACCCGGCGCGGTGAGTGGACTCGGAGCAGAGTGTTGCGGAGCGAATCCGGAGGAATATGAGGCCACGAATATGGAAAGGGGAGGCGGGGAGCCCGCGGCTGTTGTCGCAGTCGTGACTGAGCCTCGGTTTACCCAGCGATACAGGGACTATCTCGAGAAGGAGAAACTCTTGGACAGACAGCACCGCGTGGAAAAGATGCCCGATGGCACCGTGGCGCTACCCGTGCGGGGAGAGGCGCTCCCTGAGCAGCACCTGCAGGAGCTGAGGACTCGTGTGGCTCCAGGCAGCACCTGTACGCTAACGCAGCTCGTGGATCCTGTTCCTTCCAAGAAGGCCCAGGCTTGTTCACCTGCCCAAAGGCTGTGTCTTGAGGTGAGTCGCTGGGTGGAGGCCCGAGGAGTGACGTGGTCGGCTGAGTTGGAGGCTGATTTGCCTCGATCTTGGCAACGGCACGGTAACCTCTTGTTGCTGAGTGAGGACTGTTTCCAAGCCAAGCAGTGGAAAAGTCTGGAACCAGAACTCTGGGAGATTGTTGCCTCGGCACTTGGTGTCCAGCGTTTGGCCAAACGGAGACGGGTATTACCGGATGGCACTCGAACTCCAGCAGTGACACTGCTGCTGGGCGACGATGGCTGGGTCGAGCATGTGGATAATGGGATCCGATATAAGTTTGACGTAACCCAGTGCATGTTCTCCTTCGGAAACATCAGCGAGAAGCTTCGCGTGGCATCGCTGCCCTGTGCTGGACAAGTGCTCGTGGATCTCTATGCAGGGATTGGTTATTTTACGTTGCCCTTCCTAGTTCATGCTGGTGCTGCCTTCGTCCATGCCTGTGAGTGGAACCCCCATGCTGTAGTTGCTCTGAGAAGTAACCTTGAGATTAATGGAGTAGCAGATCGGTGCCAAATACACTTTGGGGACAATAGAAAATTGAAGCTCTCAAACGTTGCAGACCGGGTGTACCTGGGGCTGATTCCCAGCTCTGAAGAAGGCTGGCCCACTGCCTGCCAAGTGCTACGAAAGGACACTGGGGGCGTTTTGCATATCCACCAAAATGTGGAATCTTTCCCAGGGAAGAATCTCCGGCCTCCTGGAAGCAGTGAAATGGGGAAGGAGCACTGGCCTTATCCTCAGCAAATTATCCCCAACCAGTGGGAACATGAAGCTCCCAGGGATCCCAGGAGAAAAGTGCCGTCAGCAGCCATCAAACCAGAATGGCACAGATGGGCAGAATCTGCAGAAACTCGCATCGTCGCTCTTCTTCAGCAGGTGCACGGGAAACCGTGGAAGACACGAGTCTTGCACATCCAGCCAGTGAAATCCTACGCTCCCCACGTGGATCACATAGTCCTGGATCTGGAGTGCCGCCCCTGTCCTCTGGTTGGCTAGAGAAGGTAGATTCTGAGATGCGAGGATCTAGGAGCAAGTGACCCGTAGTTCCTCAGCTCAGGCCGGGTTCTCACCCCTCTTGTCCCTGGGTAATCTGTTTTAACATTTTGTGGCCCTGAAAGCAGGCTCTAGATCAATCCAAACCACTTCATTTGTCTTCCATTGATCACACTGAGAATGAGCTACATATCTGGGAGAAGCAACGTGGCTGACTCACTGAAACGAGGCTCGTCTGCACAATCGGTGAATCCGAATTCTGACCTGTTCTGTCTGACCTTGGGTACATGGTTTCAATACTCTTTTGGCCTTGGATTTTCTTATTTGCATACGAAGGTTTCTTTGAACTGCCTCACATGGCTTTTTTTTTTTTAACAAGTAGTTGTACATAGAGCATTGGTTATTTCAGCGTGAACGGCATTGCTCTTTCCAAAATCACTCTGGTTACAATATGGGAAATTGACTGGAGGGTGGCCGGGATGGAGGTAGACCAGTGAGAAGGTTCCCATGGTTGTCCAGGTGACGGTGGCCTGGACTAGGGTGGTGGCATTGGGAGGTGGATGGACTTGAGAAATAAATCGATGGGACTAAGCAATGGAGTCCACATCAAGGCATTAAAATGGTGCTGCTTTGTTATTTTATCAATGACAAAATATGGAGGGAAGGGAACAAAAATTACCCTAGTGTATTAACTCTTTTCTTCTACTTTGGCATTCCTAAATGTTTGGGGTTTTTTGGGGGGAGGGTGCATCTCTTAAATATTGGATTTATTGTGGTAGAAAAAGGGATAAAATGACTTATATTGCAGAGAAACTAGATTTTCAGTCTTAAGCTTATGCATTAGCTGCCAAGTGCTAGTTATTTTAAAAGTTCACATTAAAACCTCAGATTTTTAAAGGCTTCAGGCTCCCTTTTCATCTCCCTCCCTGGCCAACAACATCAAGACCAGCCAGAGGAGCTGCAGGCCACATGAGATGTTCTGTAGAGTTTCTCAAGCCTCGCCTTATTTTATGTCTGTCTGCCATCACCACTGTTTACCCTTCAAATGACTAATTGTAGAGAATCACTACTCTGTTTACCTTTGGGATAACTAATTGTAGAGAATTGCTTCTCAGAGCTTTATTCCGGTGCACTTTGAAGCCCTCTGGGCTTGTTTGCCTGACAGAGGAAATACAGAGAAGTGTGTGGCTTTATCGGGACTGTGATGGTACCGAGCATGTGGCTGGCTGGGGTTGGGCTGGGCTGCTTGCCCTTCTTGAAGCAGTGGCGCTAAAGACAGGATTGGTGTTGTGTGTGTTATTCCACAAATACTAAGTGTCTACTATACACCTGAGCCTTAGGAAATATATTCATTAGACACTGTTCCTGCCTCTGCAGAGCTCACGCCCCAGCAGCAGAAATAACACAAATACTCAGAGAATCGGAGTACAATGAAATAAGTGCCAGTGAGTGATAGCATGTTGTAGGAGTGCAAAGGTGGGGAAGAAAAGTTCTGAGAAATGAATGGTGAAGTCTTTAGAGAGGTAGCGTTTAAAATCTGAGTAAAATTTTAATGAGTGGAGTCAGGGTGAAAACAGATTCTAGTTGAAGAGAATAACAGGTGCAGAAGTTCGCACCTCAGAGAATGTTGGCAACATTGCCAGTAGGACCAGTTTGGACCAGAGGAAGCAGTGAGAGATGTGCTGAAGGTGGGGGCCGTTGTTAGGATTAAAGAGGAGTAAGTGTCTCAGACACGGCAAGCCCCCAGGAAGTGTTAGCTATCGTGGGATCCCATCACAAAAGTAGCCTTTCTGTGTTTGCCTTAACCATCTCCCCTGGTGCGTACTGAGTTTGCTCTCACGTGTGTGCCTACGGCTTTCTTGCCTCAAAGTAAAGATGCCGAGCTGGGGCCTGAGCCAGTGTGGGGAGGAAGGCAGGGGCAAACAATGAGGAAGATGAGCCACAGAGCCATAGGTCCAGGGGCTGAGGAGTTACCTTCTTGCCTTTAACTATGGATGGGCAGCATGTGAAGGAATTCATTCAACCTGATGTATGTATCAGCCCTGAGTGTTCACGGTGAAAGAAGATTGACATGGCTCTGAAATCTGGGGGAGCCAGTGATCTGCTTAAATGCCAAGATGCCTTCTTCACAGTAAAGAACTAATTCTTGCATCTTACTCATTTTATTAATATCCTGCCACCAAAGAAACACAGTAAGCACTGTAGGCTTTGTGGAAATTTACAGTTTGGGAATACTGCTCTGGCTCTGTACTGGGTGACAGGTTTCAGTGGGATCCAGAGCATGTAAAACTCTGTAGCAGGTGCAGCACGCACTGTAATTAGTCTTGTTGGATGGGCCATTCATTCCAGGAGATTCTTTGGGGCAGTAGGATCTGCGATAAGCAGAATAGCCACGAGAGTTAAGCTCCAATAGGAGAATCACAAGGTAGACTCCTAGGGCTCTGTAGCAAGGCCAGGTCATCTGCAGCAGAGAACACGTCACTTGAAAATGGCTCCTCGCATGCTCATGGGCCTTGAGGGAACTGAGCATCCCGTAAAGCATCAGATGACCCTGAAGCCACATGTCCAGTATGGGCAGGGTTTTGTCAGACCCGCCAGGTCGGTCCATCATAAGATGGAAGTGGTGTGTCGGGAATTGATGGCAGTCAGGGCCAGAGGAGACGAACAGGTGCGCAGCCAGGTGGCCCAGACTCCCAGGTCACACTTACCGCCCCTGCACCAACGTCCTTTCCTCGGCTCACAATTTTGGCCGCTTGAGAAGCTCTTCTGTCTGACTGAAAGAGGACAAAAAAAGCCAGAGCTAAGTTCGCTGATTGATTTTGTTGGAATATGGATTCAAAACAAAAATCTGCTGTTGCAGGGATAACCATATACCCTCTAAATCAATAGCCATTATATAGTTCATGCCCCTTATAGATAGAAGAGAGAGGTCTGGGAATGAAAGGGCCGATGAAAATGTTGACAGAAATCCAAACTAGTTTTTACACATCCTATTGTCGAAAGCTTTTTTTTTTTTCTCTTTAGAGCCACTAAAAGGTGTTTGAATCGTTAAAGCCGAATGAACAGATTGTTATTTTTGACCACAGGTCATTTGTGTATATGACGTGTGTTGTGTGTGCCTGTCCACTCACACACCCATACTGTTCTGGGTACACTCAATGTAAATCTGTACCCGAGTTGTGCAACATGCAAATCAATGTGGAAACCAAATATTACATTCAGTGAGTTGTAGTTATTTCTTTGAAAACTTATCTTCTATTTTAAAAATCCCTAAGCATCTAAAAGCTACCTCACTGATATAAATTTAATTTTAAAGTAGTATTTTAAAATACTTGCAGCGTCTTAGTCAAACCTTCATTTTATGGATGGTGACAGTAAGATGTAGAAAGTTTAGTATGCGTGCTGCCGAAGGGCGTGCGAGGTGTAGAAAGTCCAAAGAGACTTGAAGTCACAGGTGAGAAGAATAAGAATGACTATGCCAGCACTCCTGAGAGTTCTTGGCCCAAGATGGACTTTAGTTGAAATTAGAAATTCTTATACTAATAAAATTTGTGCATCAGACTGAGATAGGAAACTGTTAGAACTTTAATAAGAACTGAAGCATTTGCTCATGTTCAAAAGCTTTTTATTTAGTATTTAGTACATCTAACTTTTTAAGTAAAAATTGGAGTAAAGCCCATAAACTTTTATTTTCCGTTTTGTATGATCATAATATAAACTTATATCTTGTCTCCTTACCATACTCCTCTTTTAGATTAGTCCTTGTGGACCCCTTTCTCCATAATGGCCTCTCTTTTTGCTTTAAATTGCAATTAGGGTGAATAACAGGTAGCTTGAGCAGTTAATTCACATCTCTGAGGTTACCCTGTAAGCCTTCATAGTTTTAAGCCTTCATTTTACCAAGTTGGCTTTCCTTTGGGAATTTTGTCAAAATCACAAGGTTATTCCCCAGATGTGCAGTTTAGGAAGATTAAGCCAGCAGAAGTAAACAGACAAAATTAGAAAAATGGTGATCATAATGATATTGCAATAACCAGGCAAGCTACAGTAGGATCTTGGGTCAGGATACTGCCAGTGACAATAGTAAGGAAACTGGTACAAGAGACTGTCAAGAAAAAAGAGGTTAGATTTGAATGCAGCTTGGCTATGGTTGAAAAAAGGAAGGAGTCAGAGATGCCTGAAATTGTAAGCTCTGGGTAGCCTTGAGTTCAAATCCTGTGTTTGACTCTTAAGTAGCTTTGGGCTTAGTGGCCACCTAACTTTTTGATCTTGATAACTAATCTAAGCCTCAGTCTTCTCCTTTCTAAGAAATAATAATACCTGTCAAGCCCTGGCCCATGTCTCTTAATTGGTTGGAATGTCTTCCTGTAAACCAAAAGGTCGTGGGTTCAGTTCTGGCCAGAGCACATGCCTGGGTTGGAGGGGTTTGGTCCCCAGTCCCCGCACATGTGGGAGGCAACCCATCGATGTTTTTCTCTCATCTGTGTTTCTCTTTCCATCCTTCTTCTCTTCCTAAAATCAAAATAAGCATGTCTTCAGGTGAGGATAAAAAAATAAGTAAAACCTATCAACATGAGGCTGATAGAAAAATTTGAATAAAATGTAAAACCCTTACCACAGTGCCTAGTGTATCGCAAGCACAGATGGCAGTCCCTATTAGTGGGGATGACAATAGAAGGTGGAAACCGTGAGACTGGAGTAAGTTTGGGTGGGGGTTCAATCATTCTACCACACCTACCAACATCCAGAGAAAGGGGTCTTGGAGTTTTATAATCCTCCTCCCTTATGGAGAGTACTTAACTTCTAGAGGATAATCACCCATCCAGAGCCTTTACACAAAGTGGATTGCAGAGCACAGTTGGGCTAGGAACACAAGTGAGCCAGGTTCTTGCTTACTATTTTATCCCCTTAATCTGAGGTGGCAAGGTCTAGAAATGCAGACTCAGACCTAATGTACATTTTTATTTGCTGGTGAAGGAAGAGAAAGGTAAGGATGGCCAGATTAGTATATTGATTATATGGGTGGGCAAGAAAGGAGGGGGAAACTTTTCCTTTACCATCCTAGGTTCCAGGGCTGAGCCCCTGGTAATTAAACTGACAAGAGAGAGATTAACAAGGGAAAACAGTTTCACTAAGTCATGCGGTCCAGAAACACAGGGTTAGATAGACTCACTGATGATTAACTGAAACGGGTGGCTACCACCTGGGGCTTACATAGCATTTTAAGAAAGAGCGATACATTTGTAAAGAAGTGACAAGACAAAGGAAAAGGGATTTAGGCTTCTAGAAGGTAAATAAATGTATAGGGGAAACCAGTGGAAGATGATTAAGGTTATAGTGGGTGATTCAGAATATGAGTTACAGGTGAAGGAAAGGGAGATACCTTTACAGATGCACATTTATGTGCTACTTTTTGGGCAAAAGTGTTTGGAGGGTGGTGGAGGCAAGAAAGCTTTTTTGTGTGTGTTAGGGGAAGAGGCTTAAGCTCCTAATTGCCTTCAGCTCAAAATAATCCTCTGTCAAAGTGGCATACTTTGGGGTGGCATGTTCTGATCCAATTACTAAAAAACATCATAAAAGTCTGGCCTCTTGTGCCTCTGAGGAAAGGGATCCCGTCGGCAAGGTTACCTAAAAGAAGACTAGAAATCAGAGACGGAGGTGGCTTCTTGCCCTGAAGTCACAGCAGCCCTTGACACAGTAAAATGTGGCCGATGAGTGTCCTCGCTTCCGTCCAGTTTGGGAGGAGGTGGTTAGGGTGATGTGCAGAGGGATAAGAGGTATGTTTCTCCTGGTAGCGCCTACAGACAACCACGTCTCCTCGCAGGTCTCTTCCCCGGAATGCCAGCCGTCCGTCAGGCCTGGCTTCCAGTTGCGATGGGCGGTGCCCTTCGGCTTTCCTCCGCTCAAGCACCTTTGAACCCTGTTTACGAGACGTTTAAAGGTCTCCAGTAAAACAAGTTCCCGCCGGTGGCAATAGGCAGCCCCCCGACCGAGGCCACGTCTCCACCCCGAGGCCGAAGGACGAGACTGCCCTAAGGCGCTTGCGCCGCACGGTGGCGCCAAAGTCGCGAAGGCAAGCGGAAACCATGGCGACGCTTGAAACGTTCGCTACGCCGTACGTGATGACGACACGGGGAGCGCCCTAGCTTCAGATTATGACGCGGCAGCGACGCTGTCTCCGCGGTCTCGCGTGACCGCGAGCGCAGCCTCAGCTTTGCAACGGCAGCAACGGCCGAGGCCCGCGGGCGAGGTCAAGATGGTGGCTCCGCGGGCGGGGGGAGCGGTGAAAGGAGGAGGAGGAGCCGGACCGTAGCCAGCCGAAAACACCGACACCCAGAGGCCTCCCGGAAGCCGCCGCCGCTTCCTCAGCCACCGCCGCCGCCTGCTCCAGCTCCGGACGCGAGTGGGCGGCGGGGCGGGCCGTGAGGGAGACAGTAGAGGAGGGAGGGGCGGAGTCGGCCGCCTCGGCCCCGCCCCTGGCCGCCGTCCCAGGTCCTGCCCGGTGCGGCCCTCCAGGGCCCGCCCAGCCCCGGTGTGGCAGCGGCTTATGGCGGCGGTGGGGCCCCCGCAGCAGCAGGTGCGGATGGCCCGTCAGCGGGTTTGGGCGGCGCTCGAAGTGGCGCTCCGCGTGCCCTGCCTCTACATCATCGACGCCATCTTCAACTCCTACTACGATTCCAGCCAAAGCCGGTTGTGCATGGTGGTCCAGATCTTCCTCCGGCTTCTGGGTAAGGGCGAGGGGGTGGCCTGCACCCCCGGACGGCTCCGCTGGCGGAGACGTGCGTCAGGGAGCGGGCAGCCGCGCGCAGGCCGTGGTTGTGTGAGTGGATGTCAGAGTGAGAGGATGTCAGAGTGAGAAAGTGTGTGATTGTGTGTGTTTGTGTATGTGAGTGTGTGGCAGGATGTGTGGGAGTGGGATAGTGTGTGAGACTGCGAGAATAAGCGACTGAGGCCGCGTATGAGACTGAATGTGTGAGATGAGTGTGTATGAGAGCGTGCGGCTGCGGGAGGCTGTGTGTGTGTATTAGGGAGAAGCAGGTTCGCCCCCCAGGGGCGTCCTTGCGGGCTGGGCGGGGGCGGGGTGGGGGGGAGGATGTGACACCAGCAGCCGAGATGACCGCAGAGCCGCGCTCCGGGCCAGTGGGCCCCAGTTCCTTGTTGCACCCGAGGGCCGGCGGGGAGGACGCCTGGACGGGCGAGCTTGCGGCTCAGCCTGCTGCTTCTCTAGGGGAACGAGAGCTGGCTTACACGTGCCATGCGGCAGCTTTGGGAAAACAGCCCCTCTGCTCGCCCCCGTCTGTGTGTGACCTTGGCCCTGTCGTGCTAAGGCCTGGGCCTCAGTTCCCTTCTTTGCAAAATGCAGAGGACGCGCGTGTTGTCACTTCTGTATCCGCGGGCTCCCCATGATGGTGAAGTGTCTGCGGTAAATGACATCCCAAAAGAGAGAGAGAGACAGGGTTTCAAACGTCCAGGCCTTGAAACCATTACCCAAAATCTTCATAACGAAGGCGATATTTGTAATGAGTCCTACAATTTTCCATGAATGAAGTGGAGGTATTTAAAGAAAAAACGTGGCCAGAGAGTGATGAGACTTTTTTCCATAAGACAGGAAAATCAGTTTTTGTTGTATATGAATGGAGTGTTGAAAGCATTTTATGTTTCACTCCCCACCTTCACTTGCATCCCCAGAATGAGAAGCATTTATTGTAAAAAAACTTTTTTAAGTGATTGAAACTTGGCAAATTTTGTCGATGAAGTAATAAAGTTTTTAACAGGCTAGTGCTTTGAAGTGTTGCTGAGGGCTGCGATACTGAGGTCCTTACCAGCCTTGGTGAATTAGGGGCCATCTACTGCTTCTTTATTCTGATGTAAGAACCGTGGTGGTGGTGTTTTGTTCTTAGCAGTAAATAGCAATGTTTTACATGTTTGGTACTTTACTTTTGCAAAGCATTTTTACTAGTACTATCTGACCTAATATTTAATCTCAGAAATCCCCCAGAGGTGGGTGGTGGTGGTCTCATTTTGCAAATGAGAAAACTGAGGGTCATAGAGATTATGTTTTGCTTTTGATAGAAACACAACAAATAAGTGGTTGCCACAGCCCAGGCTTAAAAATCTTCTGACATCAGTGGTGGTCCCCTTTCCCCCCCAGTACAGCTTCAGTCCAGACACACAGCATGGTATAGTGACGGTCACATGCTAGATCTGAAAACTAACAGATGTGTACCAGCTGTTCTTTAGCACAGGCTTATCAGTAACCCGCCAGCTGCTTCACACCAGCCATTCCTACGTACAGCTGCAAAAGCGTAGTGCCCTCAGCCGGGGCAGAAATGGGGCTGTGTGATTTTTGTAATGTATGCAAATATCAAACACCTGAAACTAATGTGTTGTGCTCCTGATACAGTATTGTGTCATGGTATATAATACTGTGTCAGCTCTACTTCGATTAAAGAATTAGCTTTAATGTGTTATACTTAACATATTTTATTTAACTCTGACAGTCATGGGTTAATGTTAAAATGAAATTAATAAGAATGGGGCTGTTGGCTGAGCAAGGCACCTGACTACTCAGGGGGTGATTTCGATTTGGAACCTCACTTGAAACATCCTACCTATTTTTTTGTTGTTGCTTTGGACAAATCTTTCCAAATAATGTGTGGTCACAAAAATAAATAATAAAGATCATTCTTAATAATAATTGACAAATAAAGAAGTAGGGGGCTGTCGGGAGGGCATTTTATTCCTGTCAGAAGTCACTGATGTGCAGTGACCAGCATGGCTCAGTGGTTTGGGTGTCGTCCCCGAGAGGAGAGTTGCTGGTTCAGTTCCCGGTAAAGGCATGTGCCTGGGTTGCAGGCTGAGTTGAGTCCTAGGTTGTTGGATTGGGGGCTGTGAGAGGTGCAGATTGATGTTTCTCTCTCTCTTTCTCCCTCCCTTCACCTCTCTCTAAAAATAAATAAAATCTCTAAAAAATAGAAATCATTCATCATGATAAGTTACACTGACAGACTGCCAGCCCTGCCCCCCCCCCCCCCCAAACAGAAGAGAGAACAGAAGATAACCGACTTTTAAATGCAGTGGCTCTCGGAGTTGGGCTTCAGGCGAGGGAGCTCTAAGGAAAAGGAGTATTTTCCTTATTTAAATAATTCGTGGTGGTTTCAGAACATTAAATTAAATAATCTGGTATTTTTTGTACTCAATGCTTATTTTTTAAAAATGTTTGTTGATTTTAGAGAGGAAGGGGGTGGAGTGAGAGAAACATGGATTGGTTATCTGCTCCTAGGTGCTCTGACTGGGAATCAAACGTGTGACCTTTTGGTCTAGGCCTACCGGATGACGCTGCTACCATCTGAGCCACACCGGCTGGGGCCTTACTGGTACCTTTTTATTTTTATTTCTTTAAGATTTTATTTATTTTTAGAGAGAGGGAAGGGAGGGAATAAAAGGGAGAGAACCATTTTTGTGAGAGAGAAGCATCCACCCACGGTTGCCTCTCATACAGGGCTGACTGGGGACCGAACCAGCAACCCAGTTATGTGCCTTAACCAGGAATTGAACCCATGACCTTTTGCTTTGTGGGATGACACCACGCTGGTCAGGGATCTGTACCTTTTTAAAGACGACAGTAATCACAGCTCTCTCACAGGGTGTTCAGGACAATAAAAGAGATAGGATGTAAGTCCTTAGTACTTGGGACCTAGTAAGGGCTATTTAAGTGTTACCTATAGTAAGCTTGCCAGCTTTTTAAAAAAAATTTTAATATTTATATTAAAACCCCACTGTTAACAGATTTTTTGGTCTTTTGAAGGCATCAGTGAAATGTTGGTGCTATTTTTTTGAAATTTTGCTCTCAAAATATTTTCTGGGTAAGATTTCATCAGAAATACAAAAATTTTCCAAATCCGTCACCTGGCTGTTCCTTACATTATATGTGTAATTATTAATTTTTTCACATTTGTAGGTGATAGTTTTTAAAAACTGGCTTTGGTGCTAAAAAATTCATCCTGAATGAATGCAAGTGTCTGAAGTATTTTAAGGCCCATTCAGTGAGGCATTCTCTGTTTTTTTAAAATGACACATTTTGTATAAAAAATACCAAAGGATAATTAAAATTAATTGTTCTACCTGGTTATTTTTAATTGTAGACCTTTTTAATAATTTAGATACTGTTGTATATAATCTCAAAACTTGGCAGTCTGACCCATTTCTTTAACATGATATAAAAATGGGCATCTGCTGGTATGGCTCAGTGGCTTGAGCCCCAGCCTGTGAACCGAAGGGTCGCTGGGTTGTGGGCCAGGCCCCCATTAGGGGGCGTGTGAGAGGCAATCATACATTGATGTCTCTTCCCTCCTTCCCTTCCCCTTCTCTAAAAATAAATAAATCTTAAAAAAAAAATGGGCATCTGAAGAATACACTTCCCTTCCGCTACACTAAAGTACTAAAACTGTACTTTTGTTTGGTATCAAACTAATGTGAGAATTTCAACAGGGTAGAAAATAAAGCATCTCATTTATTTGGAGATCCGAAATAAAATCATATCACTATATACAGAATATTTAAGAATGTTAAGCTATTCTTAGGAGGTGTTAAATGCTAAATGAAATGCAGTCCAGTGCAGCATAATGCTGAATTAGCAAATCTGATTCCAAAGCAGAAAATGCAAGCATAGGAGTTTGTATTAATAGTATTACTCATATAATGGCAATTCACTGAAGTGGAAAGCCCTTTTTTAAGCATAAAATAAAATCCAGAAA